CAGTGCCAGGCGTCAAGATAAGCGTCAAAGGACATGCCTCCATAAAAAGCCATGAATTTCTAGTGGGAGTGGAAACCGGGGTGACTGTTTTCGCCCAAAAAAGGGGAACATCAAAGCGAAAAAAGCAATAAGTCCTGCGGGCGGAATGTAAATTGAAATGCACGATGGAAAAGAGTGAAGGGGGGATAGCGGGGGGCTGCAAGAACTTTGAACCCGAAAGTGAAACCCAAAGCCGAATCCGGAACACAAATCCGGATGTGGATTCCGGATTCCGGATTCCGGACCTAGCTCAACCAAAGTCGGAAAGGGAAGCACGCGGCACGCACTTTGATTTGCTGGCCAAGATCCTGGAGGTCCTGATGAACCTGTTTGTGGGGCCAAAGCATGGCAAAGAAATGGAGAGCTTTTCAAGCAGATGGAGCAAGTGCACTTTGGCCTCTCCAGCAAATATGTCTTCAAGTGCCATTCCCTCAATCGCAATGGCAAATCCCGAACGAGGACTCCCGAACGAATCGGAGTCACAGTGGCAGGAGTAGCGCTACGTATTCCTTTGTCTCCCTTTGATATGCCGCGTGCTTTATTAAAAATTTCCAGCTTGCGAAGGTCCCTTTGGGGACATTGTTATAAATTCCTTTGGCTGAAAAATGTGAAAAATGCCCCATGTAAATTATTTCTGCGTCATTTTTCCACCAAAAGAGCTCCCGAATCTCCTCCCGACGCGGCTTTTATTGTGCATGATAAATTTTTATTGTAATTGGCTGTTGATTTATGGGCCATGGAGCCGGGAATTGGGAATCTCGGACCCGGACTCTGGTTTAGCCGGATGATAACAAGTGCCAGATAAACGATTCTCTTTCAATTTGCCATTAATTAGGAGAGACAGCCTCCCATGGAGATGAAGACTCCTCCTATGGATGTGGAGGCCTCTCAAATTCAAATGGCCGAGGCATAAAATAAAAACTAATCGCGGCCTTACAGAAATCATCTATGAAATTGCGCTCACTGATGCGTAACCTGCTTCGGCTCCTCCTCCTTCTCCATTCGATGGGCTTAGCCCACCCAGCAGGAAGTGCAAGTCTCTGGGCACATAGCAAGAAAGGAGCACAAAAAGACCCAAATCCCAACTGGAGGCTGTGCTCATTGTTTGTTAGATGCTCCAGCAGTCAAACACCATAAAACTTTATGAACCCACCGAGCTGAATCCACCTTCATCTTTGGGCTTCGCAGCTCCCGCTCCGGCTCCAGCCCAGAAGTGGCAGATTTTTTAATGCCTTGCGAAAGATTTCATGGTAATTTCGCCGGGTTATAACAATTTACAAATTATGTAATCGAAATTTATTGCCTTCTTCTCCTCCTTATCAGACTGCTCCCCGAGGGCCGTTTCTGGCAGCTCCTCTTCGCTGGGCCACCATCTTCTCTTGAGCTCGGACAGGCACAGGTGGCCTTGATGGCCAGACCGCTTGATATGCGCTACATTTGACTCCCGGCCAGAGCGGCTTGGAACGAAAGACGGTGGCTAACGTGGTCACTAAGGAGTAGACCGCAATGTATAAGGAAAATATGGTTCCAGATCGGCAAAAGTTCGCATTGAAAATGTTCCTTACGATAGAGAAAGAATTTTTCTAGAACTGCTACAATAGCTTTCCCAGCCGGACACCTCCAATTGAGTTACACTAATTCCCTACCCGAAGCCTGTCCACTGCCATAAGTTTCCACCTGTGCGGCAAAGTGGCAGTGGCTTAGGAAGTTTCCCGCAGATAAATGGCAATTTGTTCGCATTAACCCGGCGCCCCCCTATAACCAATTCAGAGCATAGAACCGTGACCCATTAGTTACGGCACTTTCCAAACAAACTCCAATAATGCAGCCATTAAATGCCAACTATTCTGCCATCAAGTACTTTAGTTTGACATAAATGTCGACCGGATGGCGAAACTTTTGCCGCTGCCACAAATCTGAGAGAGCCACCCCTTCCCAAGTGACCACCCACGCACCGCCCAGGCCCAGCCAGGCAATCCAACAGGATCAGTGGGCTGTGTCCTGCGAGAGCTTATGTTGCAGCTTTAATTAACGCCAGGTTTTGTGACTGCTGTTTGGCCAACAGGTGCGGAAAGTTTTGGACCAGCCCCTGTACTCCAGTGTCCCCTTTCCCTTCTACCTCCGGAAATAAACTCGAAAAAATAAATTTCGACTCTGAGCTTGAATGTAAAAATCAGAAGAACAACTATAAACTATTGAAATAAAATTCTAAAATATAAAAACCAAATAAAAACCCAGTTAAGCCTTTATTCATAATTAATGAAAGTTTCCTAATATCGGCTCAGTGCATCCATTTTGATTCCCCAGCCCAGTGTATTTTTATTTAATTTAGAGTCGCGCATTGCCGGCCTGGCCCGGCCAGGACTTTCATGTTGTAATTTCCTCAAATTTACGAGTTTGCTTAGCCGGATACGGGTTGGGATAGTGCAGGACGACGAGTTCTCGCAGGACGCGTCGAATGGCCTGTGGGGGGTGGCTTGTATTTTCGGGGCAAGGGCAACGCTGGCAGGATTTACGACTCGGCTTGGTTGGGTTAGTTTCACTGCCTTTCCTGTGTTGACTGTGTTTTCTGTTCTCTGCTCCGCTGCGGCTTGTTAGCGCCTCGACTCGCATTTTATTAGCAGCATCCTGCCACTCCCACTGCCACCCAGTGCCCAGCCCCCACTTATCCTGCCCAGCCAGATTGCTGTAAATGAGCAACTTTTTGCCCTTACACCCAGAACGGCGGGTGGGTGTGCGGGTTTTTTGGTAATTTCGCATGCAGTTTATGGCTAGGCACAACAGCGAAAGCTCCGGGTGGGGGTCCTTTGGCCCATGCATCTGTAAAGGAGCTCCCTGCATACACACACCCTCATACAAAAACACCCACGAATCCCCTTTTCGACACCCTCGGCTCACAGGTTGATGACGCCGCTTATAAAAGTTGATCAAAATTATTACTACACCCGGGCAGTAGTTTTGGGCGAAGGAGAATATCCAGAGGGGACCTCTAAGTTGGCCAGCCGTAGCTTTTAATACTCTTTCTTTAATCCAAGGAAAATAATAATAATTTAATAAAAATTAGTTTTTTTAGTAGTATTCTTTAATTAGACATTAACTAAGTACTTAGTAGTTAGATACTTTAAAGGTCATCCCACCTGGCTAAGTAGGCGGATTCCTTATACCCTGCCAGGACATAAAAAACCAAAGGGCTGAAGGTGGAAAAGGGCAGCCCAACGTACTTGCTGTTGTTAAAGGTCCTGAGCTGGGTACTTGAGCATCCTCCTTCGGTACACAAGCTTGGTTTTTGGGACAATTAGAGTGGGCCATTGCCATAAAGTTATAGGATTCATGGAGCACGTTTTCCACAACGCATTTCGGAGCTTACTTATTACTGCAGTTTATCTGCCGGGCCGGAGAAGGGCCAAACTTTCTGGCCACGTTTCATTAGCCCGGCTATGGCATATGGCTATGGACTTCTGCTTCCTTTCAGTTGCCAAGTTTGCTTTTTACGAGTGCACATTCTGGGCGCGATATTAAATCCATATAATGGGGCAAACGCATGGGGATTGCAGGATATAACATATGCACAAAGTTTCGGTTACGGATGCTGAGTAATAAGCAAAGATTTGATGATGGGAGGAGGCTTATTAATAACCATAAAGTAGTCATGACGGCCCACTGAGACTATTGCCATTTCAATTTTAATTGAATTACTAAGGAAAGCAATAAAAGTTTATTTATTCAGTGAGTAGGAAAATTGTAAAATAATTATTTTAATATAAACAAGAAATTTATAAATTTTCTTATATACATTATATAAATAATTCATGTATGTATGCTCCCGTAACACCATCACTTGCCATTTTCTGTCTAATGGTCTGTTACGCATACGCCCCGTAAACTAGGTGAGCCATTGTCCAACATATCGGTGTGATAATGCAATCGATCGCCACCACTGTCTAATAAACTGAAAACTCTGGCCTCTCGCCTGCTTGTCAGGTAATTAATTAATAATGTTAAGTGCAAAACACGCGCGAATCTATCCACCTTACTATGTCTTTTCCGCATTTCCCGCCATTGCATAAAATGTTGAACAAAGCACCGGCGGATTAGATTAACTTTTGGGTATTGGGTTTTATGATGGGAGGATGGAAGGCTCCGCATCGGATCGCATGGAATGAGATGGAACTCGACCGGCTCTTTTTTATGCGGTGGCGTATGTGAGATTCCAGCGGCTGGACTGAATGGTGATTCCGATTCGTCAGCTCCCAGAGCCAGACACCAAGCCACCGCTTCCGACTCGGGAGCAGGGTGGAAGTGGTGAAAATTGTTTTGTTGGTGTAAAATAAACGGATCGCTCCACTGAGCAGCAGCCGCGCCCAAAGTTTGAGGTACACTCTAAAAAATATTTGTTAATTGTTAAAGTTAAGTTGTAGTACAAGTGGCTTAAGATTGGGGTTTATTTCGTTCAAGATTCGGGTAGCCCTCCTTCCCTTATGTATTTAATTTCAAAATAAAATAGAGTATAACTTTTTTATGACTATTTTTTTAAGTGATTATTTTATTAATTTTTTACTGTACTATGAACAACAAGCCGTAAGGAATAATTAGATGCACGTAACTCTGAAGCCAATATGGTGGGGGGGCTGCTGGAGCTGCACATGCAAATTTTGCTGCTCCGTGGAGGCTGAGGCTCAGTGGCAGCAATGCAATCGACACCGCCAATGAAGATAATGATGGATTAGTGGAAAGAGGGACAAGTGGGGGGAGGCTGGCCCATAGTAGTGTGCCACATGGAGCGGCCATGGTGCACTGAACTTGATTACCGCATCCATATAAAAGCCACATCGATGCCAGCCGGCCCCCACAGTATTGAAAGCGAACGCGAGCCACACGGTATTTGGTATTCGGTATTGAGTGGTCAGAGTGGACAACCTAAAGGATTAATTAAAGGACCTGCTTATTCACGGACTCACAGAATGGCCAATGTGAGTAAACAGTGGGAAGATACATAAAGAGCTTGGCCTCCAATAGTGTCCTAAATGTTTGTGATTTAAACATTGAAAATGTAATTCCTCCCAAAAAATAGGACTCCCCTCGATGTCAATCTCTGCCCGGCTACCTCATCGCAATAATGTTGCTTCTGACAGCGACAGGAATCCAGACAAGGCGCCTCTCCCATCGCCGTCTTATCATCCACGTGCCGGTCAAGGTGAAGACCCATCATCACACGCACACCGTCTACAAAGTACTCCACGGCTCTGGTGGAGGAGGCGGTGTGAAACAAACTGTCTACAAAGTGCTCGGCTTTTCCACACACGGCGGCGGAGGGGGCATGACCAAGGGTACCGGAGGAGGAGGTGGCGGCCACGGGAGCTACGACATGGGAGGAATGGGCCACGGCGAAATCACGTACGAGGACATGCACGGTTGCGAAAGTGGAAAGGTGATGCCAGCGGGAAGGGACATGATTTTCAATCATTACTCGCGACACGGCTCCGGACTGGAGTCCGAGGACTACGCCGAGGACGACGACTTCATAGACCTTAGGGATGGCTGGTTGTGAATAAAGACATTGCCGATTAATTATAAAATTCCTGAAGAGATCCTTGAAGGGGATACCCCCTTCTGATTACATTTGCATTTGCAGACGACATTCCAGTTGCCCAAAACTTGGAAGTTGTGTCTTTCTCTTCCCGAATCTGCCATCCGCCATCCGCAATCCGCACTTGTATTGTTTAATTAGAAAACATTGGCAGCGATTGGGAGGCGGTTGGCTGGGCGGGATTCCTGGCGGGATGGAGTCGCGCACTTGAGGAAAACTCAAAGTATTTGCATAGCTCTCCACTTCAGCATGCGGCATATTTTAGTGGACAATTAAAAGAAGCGAGTGTCAATGCTTGAGTGGAGTGGACAGTGAGGCGATGAGGGCTGGGTGGCCAGACTTGTTACTTTGTAAGTTTCGAGGAGAAGTGGTTTTGATTTTGGAAGTATAAGTGCCTTTGTGAAAGGCTCACTTTAGCCTTTAATCAAATTTAAAGACAAACTGAGCTCATTTTTCCAACAGCATTTCAAATCAGGTTTCAGAAATAGTATCCTTTCCCAAATAGCCATTGATCAATCAGCTTTATCGCTGCCAGAGAGTCCCACCAAACTAGAGCATCCGATTGCCATCAGTTGGACATAAGGCAGATTGATCACCGCCCGCCCGGGCTCTGGCAGATGCCTCAAATAAAGATAAACCCGATTAAGGCGAGCCCCCCTCCCGGACATGGATGCACAACCAGGTAAACACAGGTGCCGCAGTTCGCTGAGCGCAGAATAATTTGCGTGTAATTGAAGGCGACAGCGCGTCACGGGTCGGATGATAAATGCGTCTGTCCGTCTCCTCCAGCTACTCCGAGGGGAGTAGCCGCACAAAACCCGATCTGATCGCGACGGGTGGTCACTGCTGGCTGCCCAGTGGTGTCGCACTTTCGGCTGGCGCCAACTACTCCTGCTCCTCCTTACGGATGGGGGCTATTTAAAGGCATTTATCTGTAATGACATTTAAGGCCAGCGATATAAATCGCGGGTGCAACATTGTTGCAACGAAGCGAATGAAAATCGTACACGTGCCTCGCCAACGAATAAAGTTGTTCGACGTGAGCCACGTCCAATCTATGTGGCAGGCACGTGGGACAGGCTCACAATCACTGCCACTGCACACGAGAAAAACTAGAGAAAATATATTATCTTATCATTAGGTTCATAATACATACTAATAGAGATCTTCAGGCTGTTTAGATATATCATTCCCATGTGTCTTAAACAGCTTGATGTTAGTCCGTCAATTTGGAATTTAGGCAATTCCATTTTTTTTTCTCTAAATGAGCCACTGAGCTGCTTATGTCCGACGATGACGAGTTGAGTCCACCAGAGCTTTGTCCATCAGAAATAGTCCCAGTGCCAGTACCATCCTCGTACCAGACTGTCAGTCTGCCTGCCTGTCGTCTCCTGGCTTTATTGGATACGTTAAGCCTCTGCACATATTTGCATCCTGGCTGGACGAATGCCTGACGGCAACAAAGCGTAAAACGATTTGGCCAAAACCAAATAGGCAGTCAGCCCAGCCCGGTCCGGTCCAGTTCGGACCATGTACGGGATTATCGGACGGGGCTGGGTATTTGGCTATTTGTGTATTCGAAAGTTACCTTTACAATATATGCGGTGCTCTGGCAAATGCCTCCAAATGCTAAATACATTTTGGGCAGTTTCCTGGCATTTGATTTGCTTTTCGCTTTTGGCCTGCGGTCTATGGTAAATAAATGTATTGATTTTGGCAAATGGCTTTTCCACGGCTTCAAAAATGGCACTCAACTTCGGTTCGAAATTGGAACATTTAAATCTTCCAAACTAAGCTAATAGTGGTGGGTTTTATACAAAAGGTTTCTTTTAAACCAAAGGCTATATTTTAAGTAATAATTATTCGATTGAGAGAAATAATCTTAGTAGGGCCCATTTTTCAACGAAATTCAAGTCCCCTATTGATAGGATTCAACTCGTAAAAACTTTTCCCTATTTTGTAATACTTTCTCCATCGTCGTGTCGGTTTTTACCCACTTTCCCCCTTTAACAGACTTGTTTACCCTCTGTCTAGCCTTTGATTTTTCATTTTCTGCCACAATTTTTGGCCATTTGGCTGTTTGCTTAATTGGTTTCATTAGGGAAATATTCGGTTTTCAAGTCCCCACCCTAGACCACCTCAACTGTTGTCCACTTACCGTCCTTCCTCTTTGCAGAACGTAGGATGCCAAAAAAACGACGTTCCTGGAACGACGCACCTGAAAAGCACCAAGAAAAAAAGGGAAAAGTTAGAAAAAAGTTTGGCAGCAACTTGGTCTAAAACGAAAACTTTAAGGTGGGAAAGTTTTTGAAAGGAAAGGGAGGTGTCAGGTGGCAGTGGTGATGGTGGTGGTGGTGGCCAGGAGCCAGTTACACGTGTCGCAGGACCAACAACCAGGCGGCATAATTTCCACTGAGTGACAACTAAATAAATAGAAGAGAGTGCGAACAAGGATGCAAGGATCAAGGCAGGGCGACGACGATGAGGGGCAGATGGCAAAGTTTCAGATGCGGGCAGCCACTCAGTCTGGGGCACTAATTTTAACACCATTAATTTGCGAGGCAGGAGCAAGGAGCCAGGCAGGACCGACATGCTACTGCTTCTGCTTCGAAGATAGAACAGAGAATTTTAAATGAAATGGACACAAGTTTTATTGAATTGATAGGGGCTGGGAGGAAGGCCACGGAAACGAAACGAAACGGGTGCCAATGCCACTGAGCTCAAGCCGGAAACGGAAACGCATTACTCTGCTCCTTTGAGCGAATGCTCCTTTGGCTCCTTGGGCCGCTCTTGTTGTTTGTGGGTCCCGCACTTTGCCCCACACGTTTACACGCAAGCTCTGGGTGTCTGAGAGGGTGTACACTGGGCACTGGGAAAAATACTGGCAAGTTTGGTGTTTAAACTACTTTGCCCACATTTGAAGTTAATAAAATATATATTTCAGTGGAAGTCCTGGTGGTCTGAGGTCCTGCCACCAATCAAAAAGAAGCGGCAGCCAAGCAGAAGTAGAAGTTGTGGCAAAGTTTTTGATTTCATGATATATTTATGGGCATCCGCTGCCACTTCGGGCTCCATCCAATTCCTTTGAGTAATAAACTTGGGCCCGAAAGCCCTCTGCTCTTCCTGTCTCGAAGGATCTTTTTGCTGGCCGCCTTTAACTAGAAGTTATTAATTTACTTTACTTTCAATACCCCCCGAACTTCCACTTTAAAGCAGCATTTGCTGCAGGATTATTGCGCATACGTAGAGTTGGCGGCAAGGACCTTGCGGTCACGTACCGAGCCCGCTAACACAGATAACCATCGTTGGGAATTTATTTGAATGCCTGGTTGCGTGGTCCAGTTTTGGGCTCAGGGCTCAGGGCACTTCGGGGCCCATATTTTTGAAATTTTCATCCACTCGACTGGCCGCAATTTGCGCACCGAAATGAACCGATAAGCCAGAACTAATGCCCCGCAAAGGACTCGCCAGGACAATAGCCACTAGCCAGGACGGAAAGTGGGGCAGGTAGGCAAAGGTTGGTTAATGAAAAAAAAACCGCCTGCCATGGATTCAATTAAATATTAAATAAACGATATCAGCAAACAGCAATTTCCTGGGCCCCTTTAGCCTCCCAGCCATCCTCGACCGTTTTATCTTTTTTTGTACTCTGATATTGGAGTGAAATGCAAACACAATTGCAAATGCCCGGGAAAACTTTATGAGACAGCGTAATCCTGGCAATTATGTGCTGCCATCTCGCTCGAATCAGTGCCTGGACCTGACCAGGAACAGGCATTATCTCTCCATATTGCACGAAAGTATGAAATGAACCAATAAGAGAACTACACATGCAGGCACTCAAAAAAATATATTTTTCTTTTCTTAAATAAAAGAATTAAACAACACAGCGGAGCACTCTGTTAAAACAACAGAAGGACATGTCAGGATATATTAAAAAAATATGTCCGAAAATTGTTATTAGTCTGTTAATCCGCAAATATTTATTTATTTCAGTGCAAGTAAGAACGTGTGTCTGCATGGACATTAAACTCTGATGCAAAATGATTTGAACAGGTGCTGGTAGCTGCAGAAATAGCATGTGAGGCTTTCGGGGGCGGAGGCACTCGCAAAAAGACTAATTATGTATTCATTAAAATGGCAAACGGCAAAGACTGCACACCCACACGTGCCTCCTCGTCCTGACGATCCTTCGACTCCGGCTGGCAAATGGAAATACTGCCAGAAAAACGGGTGGATGGCGAGGCATTCATGAATGCATCTGGTCGGAATGTATTCTGCATAATGGCTCTGCTCCTCTGTCCGCCTCTGTTCTCACATTTTGATTATATCTATCTCGCCTGATAACCTAATATGTGGAATGACGAATGTGTGGCTCTTCCGGTCTTGAGAGCTTTCCCTGGAAAAGGGGCCAAATGAATGAGATTCCATGGTAATGATTCCTAAATACACACATTCATCATATCTGCTTCTGAGTTGTGAGGTCTCAGATTGGGGGAAATGTGTGCTGAAGAGGTTGAATTTTTGTCCGCTTGGAGAGTTGGATTTAATGGAAGGTTGATTTAATTTAATTATAAGCATCTGTCTAATTTCGTCCTTAGAGACTTGTTAGCAATCTCACGAAATGGGATTAACTTAAGTGTTAATTTAATACGAAACACTCAAATATTAGGTTATGCACTTAACTTTATTAATAATTTGTGAATACAATTTTGAAAAACTAAAACTAATTCGTTTGGTTCTTTCGTCATATATCCTGGGTGTTTCTTCGGTCTACTGGACTTTCTACTGTGCGAATCCTCCAAAGATTCCCCTGAAGAAACGGTAGATGGACTTAGGAATCTCCACGGCAAACAGCACGGTGCTCTCCTCCACCGGCAAGGGAGCTGCTCCGCCTGAAGCGGATTGGGAGCGCTTCTCGTTGAGGATGTTCTTCTCGAACAGCTTCTGGTGCTGCGTCAAGTGGCTGAGAAGGAACTGCTGAACGGCAGCCTGCTCCTTTTGCAGCTGGCTGAGTCCATTGGCCGGCACCTTCAGGGTGTCACTCACGTGCGAATTAGTGGCCTTGATCACATCCTGAATATTGATGCTGCTAGCCTTTCCCTGGGAAAACTCCGGAGCAGGGACCAGGAGAGGTAACGCAGCCAGGTTAACGGGCAGCAGAACATTCGCATCGCCTTTGTTAAGACGGCCATCGTTGGCCTGCTGAGCCAGGGGATTGGGAATGAGGTAGAATCCCGGCTTCTGAAGTTGCTCCTGGTTTTGAGGCTTTTCTTCGGAGAGTCCTCGGAATTTTCCGTAATACTGGTACTGGGAACCATCCTGGGATTCCGATGCCGTCTTGTTGACGTAGAAAGGATTCGGGAGCAGCACCAAGCTGAGACCCACTACCTTGGGGAAGTCCGTGAAGGGATTTGGCAGGAAGGGGAACGGCTTGGTGTCCTCGTGGATGTGGGTGTGATAGGTCACATTGCCGGAAGTGGACTCCGTCAGATTGACGTACGTGGTCTCCTGTTTCTCGAAGGGATTGGGCAGGAAGGGGAATGGAAAACCGGGCTTCTTCTGGTTGTTGTAGTAGTGAGTGTGGTCGTGGGTGTGGTGAGTCACATTGGCAGCGGTGGCGTTATCGATGGTGACGATTTCTACTTTGGGGATTCCAAACTTGTTGTAGTACTCTTGGTAGTTGCTCAGGGACTGATCGCGGTTGGAAGGATATTTAAAGATCTTGTCCAGGTCGGCAGAGCCCACTATTTGGCTTTGACCGGATTGGTCAAAAACCTGGAAGTTGTCACGACCCTGGACCTGAACAGGGTTCTGATCTTTAGGTTCCTCCTTTTTAGGGACTTCTTGTTCCTTTATTGGGGCTTCTTCCAAAGTGGTTGGTTCTTCAACTTTGGGTATTTCATTGGAAACAGATGCAGTTTTTTCAACCTCAGACTTGGGATCATCCTCCGCCTTTTTTGGTTCTTCAGCTTTGGAAATTTCATTAGAAACAGATTGGTTTTCCTCGGATTTGATGGCAGGAACCTCCTTGTTTCCTTGGGGTTCGATAGAGTTACTTGGCTGGACGGGACTTTCCTGGACTTCTTGCTTAACTTCCTCAAGTTTGGGAGATTCGGTTTGGACGCCAGTTCCTTGGGGAACCTCCTCAGAAATCTTCTCCTTAACTGCAGAAGGCTCCTGCTCAAGAGACCTGCCCTGAGTGGCCAGCAAAAGTCCAAGAAGAACCAGAAGGCGTAGAGAATTCTGCAGAAGAAACCAGTACCACCAGGCTGTTCAAAGAAATCTCTTTAAAAGAAGGTTCCTTTTTGGAGAACTTACCATGATGAGGTTGTCAGTCGAACTGTGTCAATGCAGAGTATTTCCCGACCTTTTATACAAACTCCAAACAAAGGACCGCGAACTATCCTATCACTATCCAGAGGCACTTTAAGTTCTTCAGCCATTATCTAGCGATTTGAGTGATTTATTTACTGTTTTCGGTTCACTTCACTAAAAAGGCGCCAGTGGCGGAAATATCGGTAAAAATGGAATTGCACTCAAGCTATATTGAGCGAGTAGTATCTGTGCAGTACTTCCTGCAACTTCCCCCACACTAAGTTCGGTTCCTAGGTTTATCACTGTGCCAGGGGTTTATTTGGTTCGTTTTATGTGCAACATGAAAATGCCATTGTTTCCGAGGCGCACAAACGGAAATCTATGACTCGCTTTTCAATGTTTTTCCTCCTTTTTTCCAGCAAAGGAAAAACTGCATGGGCAAGTGCAAAAGACTGTCGTTAGTGCAGGCAAAAAAATGAATTAGATGTATATACTCTAAGACCTTCAGAGATTTCCATTAAAATCATCTTTATATTTATATAAAAACTGGATATTTTAAATGTCTCTTTTAAATTGATTCCATAGTTTCAAGATGAAACCCTTTTTCTCCGTGTAGGAATGCGAGCTGCAGGAGCTTAAGGCCAAAGAAAAAAGGGCGAGGGAGCAGTTGGCAGTTGGAAGTGCACATCAGCTGCATATTCATGCCAAGAGCTTTATCTTTGGAACCTTGTCTCCGCCCCAGGACCGCCCCCACTTCCCTGCTGACATGTCGCCAGGTGAGCGATGAGCTCTACCTGGTCATTGACATGACAAGTGAGGGAGCGGGAGCCAAGGAAAAATAGTAAGCTAGCAGGTGGGGGCGCTCCTGCTGGGCTTTGTAATTGAATTGCCCGATGCATAGCTCGGATTTTTGGCATTCTCCGATTTGATTGAAGGCTTTTGCCGTTGACAGAACTCTACCAATGATTCGAATCGATTTTCGAATTGGTCAGTGAATAGCACGACTTCCATGGGGCGAGTCTGTAAAACAAGAACGTCTATCAAAAAGCTTACATTCCATCCACTAGCTAACCCGAAATAAGGCTAGGGATGCATCGAAGACTTTAAAAGGAAATCATTTAATTAAAACCTTAAGCAAGTCCATTAAATTTTTTACCTCAGAATAAACTCGTGCATAATTCACACCTCAAAAAACAATCAAGCTGCAATTATATCCTTTTCCCAAAACCCCAAGTCCTTTTCCCAAGGCATAAGTTCCTTTATTGTTTTCTGCTCTTCAATACAAGACCAAAGTTCAAGCACTTGCCAGTCGAAAAATTCAAAGAGTGGCGATTGCCTGTAAAAAACTATTCCATTCCGGGGGAGCCGGATTTGAAATCTAAAGCCCAGGTTGCTGCTGGGGCAAGAAATGGTTTTGCGCAGCGGCAGATGAGCTGTTGAAATTGCAAGTGCGGCACTTGCTCAATTTTTCATGAGCCTCCCACAAGCCAGGCAGTCGACCAGAAACGGGGTGAACTCAAGACGATGGGTCGACTTCAATATACCCATTGTTTATTGATATTTCTTAAGATACTCTCTAGAGAATGCTTTACAAGAGAATAGTATCAAAATTAAGGACGGAGGTAGGACCCTTTATCGAGTGCCTATAACCCCCCTAGTACCCTCTAGAAAATGAACTCCAACGGCAGTCGAAGAAGTTGAAACTGAAACTGTGGCCGAGGAATTCCTTCGGCCCGGGTCCCAACCCACATGGGCCAATATCCCAAAGCTGGATGCAAAGGACAGACTGCAGAAGAGCGGCAGGCCAGCGAGGGATCTGTGAAAAGGCGAAATTAGCGGGCAGGTCCAGCAGCTGGATGGCCGGGGCTATCCACCAACAGCATCCGAGCATCGTGGCCAGACAATGAGGCGAGCCGAGGCCCTTGACTTGGCCGGCGCGGGCCCACGAAAAATAATAAGGAATGAATGTAAATAAATGGTGCTAGGGGTAATGGCAACGAATAAACGACAAAAACAGAAACCCCAAGAGGAACTGATAGCGGGGGAGGTATGGAGCGAGGAACGGTATGGGCCGGGTGACGCCCAAGGCCAAGGCAGCATCATCATCGTGGTCAGTGAGATAAGCTTTGGAGCCGGATCGGTGTTGCAGTTGCAGGCTACGTAGCACGGCAGCCCATGAGAGGACCAGGGGGAGAAGTTGTCCACAGTCCAGGGCGCATCTTTGGATGTCAGGACGCATTTAATAACTTTTAACTTTTTTAAATTAAACTATTCTTATTGACATTGTTATGAAACAATTATTATAATACAAAGTATAGTTCCTTCCAAGGTGTGGCTGAAAGAAACTCCTAGAACATTGGCTGCTGCTGTTCCCAAGAAGATTCTTCTGGCAGAGCTCCTTGGCCCTTTTCTTATTACTTTTTTTTTTTTGGGTTTCGGGTAGAACTCTTTCAGTTTGGGTGTGTGCAGTGCAGCGTCGATAAGATCAACGTGTGAGCACAGGACAGTCTTCCTGGCACTGGCATCTGCAGCAGGTGTTTCGCTTTCAGGCTGTGGCCACCGCCACACAATATGGGTAACAAGTTGCACCATCCTGGCCAAGTTTATCGCCACATAATTCACACGGCGAGGCCCTGTAGTCGGGGAGGCCGGAGCTGAATTGATTGACTCCCGCTCCCGCTGTGGGGATGGAGCCCGCTCCAATGGGAGTGGGAAAATGGAAAAATCAAACACCACAGGGGGAGACTGCACTCCGCCAGGACCACGCTCCACTAGGCAAATATGGCAGGCGACACAAAGCACTGGCACATCCCACATTCATCACATCCGCATCTCCATGTGCCCGCACCATCCACATCCCAAACTGGTAGTCCTCGCTTAGAATTCAAAACATTTCAGACAAATTGGCGTCGAGCTCTTTGAGCCCGATGTGTGACAAAATGGAAGGCAAACAGACCGGACCGGGCTGGGTAGCCCCTCCAGCTCCCCAGCAGCTCCCCAGCAGCTCCAACCAATCATCCGACTGGACAATAAACGGGGTGCAGTGGCGGGTGCTCCGGCCCTTGTTTAATTTATGCCAAAACATTTCTGAAGCGACGTTGACGACGTCATTTGGCCAGAGATCCAGGCCGAGAGCAGTTGGCCCCTGCCCCTGGCAGCCGCTTAGACCTGGGATCCCCGGTCTGGGATTGAGGTGTCACTTGATATGCAATAAATAAGCTGCTGGGAAAAGTGTTAACGAGCCTGCAGGGACAGGGGATTGGCATAAAGAGGTGCACTGTGAAATATATTTTAGAATTCTATATCCCTTTCTGCGCTTTTCCAAGAGATCATAACTTCAGCCTAAGTTCAGCTAAAAATTCCACAATGACACACTTTTTCGATCAGTGTAGTTGGGATGCCACCGCCGAGGGCTTTTGGAAAGAGCTACTTTTGTGTTGTCTGGGTCTGTTTCGAGTCTTCTAACAGCTTGCAACGCCTTGGCGCCACAAAATGAACGCCATTCATGGGGCAACGTGCAACGACTAGAATGTGACCCATTTTTAGCACCAGTAGTCCGCCCCCTACTTCTCCTCTCTTCCAGCCAAAGAAAGCCCAGTTAGTGTGTTGCTGGTCTCTGTTGTTTGTTTAAATGTTTGCCCATATATGGGTACAGTCAGCTATATAAATATGTGAACAGCTTTTAGCACCTTGCCCCCGCACTCGAGTGGCGTTCTCAAGTGGAGCTGAGGCGACAGAGCAAGTCCCACTCCCCGGAGACGCAGAAGCACCCGGAGATCCCCAGCAACAAGATCCCAGCACCGCCCGGAGCACGTGAGTCTGCCAGACAATGGGAGCTTAAGACCCAGAGGGGAGACTTCCCGTCAGTTAATTCCAGGACTTTAGCTGATGTACGAGAACTTGTTCCTTTTTCAACAATATTTCCCATTGGGTATTCGAACAGCCGGCGATATTTTCTTTATTTTTTATTCGCCCTCTTATTGTTATATAGTCGCTGTTCGCTGGGCGGAGCCATTTTCAATTAAGCAAAATTAAAAATTTATTACGAGCCACGACCGAAGGAAAACAAAGAACTCTGGGCAGGAGCAGGACCAGCAACCGGAACAGGAGCGGGCAAAAAAAAACAGCAAATTTCTGGGAACTTGGGGTAAAGAGATGTTTATGTTTTCATTAAAAAAGAAATAAGGGAGAAACAGATCCAGGTTGCTGGGTTTCGGTTTTGGGTTTGGGCTTTGGAAGGAGTTGGGAACCCAATGCGTCGGTGGATGATTGGGCTGCTTCGACCCGAGGCCATCAGCGCCCCTGTCCATTATCCTTTAGCCTTTCGCCGGCTTTATTTGCGCTGAAGTTTTAATCATTGAAGTGACATTGACGCAGTGGCAGCATCGATGGCAGAGTGCTGTTTTTTTTTCACCCACTAGCGGCGGGCAGAAATTGCCGTCAAAGGACCAAAGGACCCACCAAATATTTATGAGTTTTAAGTGATTATTGAATTTGATGGGCGGTCGCAAACGGAAAAGTTTCATTTCGCACATCGCAGGGATATTAAAAAAGTTTTTACCAAACGATCCTTGGCCAAAGTTTGAAAAAATGGGCATATAAACGTGCTGATAAATTGGATTTTTATAGAGTTTGTTGATTAATGGAGATTCTTTTGATAAAGTTTAGTTAAGGGTTTATGCAAATTTTAGGCAATTAAAAATATCACATGATAAGGTTTAATTATGATATTAAATTAATTATGTATGTCACACTTTTATTATCATGTCAACAAAAATGCTGTTCCCCAATTATGCCATCATCTCCATTTAATTAACTAACCTTTCACAACTTTCTTTGGGTTGTCAAGTGCTCACTCCCCCGGCTGTCCTCCTCCTCTTGGGCTCCTCTCTGATTATTCCCTTTGTAATCTGTGGCCCTTTTCGCTTTTCGCTTCTTGCAACAGTTGCTGTTATATTTCAATTAGCATGGCAAAGCCAACATTTATGCGGCGTTAAGTTTTCTTCAATTAAAACTTTGCCTCACAGACACACAGGCACACACACACACACATGGAAAATACGCGAAACTTT